GATGTGGCGAGACGAGAGGCGAGGGGAGGGGATGCAGACGAGAGGGAGAGGCGCAGGCACTCGAGTGAAAGTGGTGTCGACGAGAGGCGGAGTGAGTTAAGGGAAGGGGACAAGATGGATCGCCGACAGCTCACGATGTGGCAACGCTCGTGATCCGTGTTGTGTTCGTCAGGATTTGAATTCAAGTGCCCGATTCGAGTCGGCTCGCTCCCTCGGGTTTCACCACGGACTCAACGGTGGCCCTCCAACCCAGCAGCTTAAATAGACGCTGCCAAGCCTGGTGGTGGTTTCATTCAGACGCTGTCTTTCCGACAGACCTGTTCCATGATGTGTGGGAAATCCACTCGGTGGGTGAATCGCGAATGAATATTGAGAAATAGGCGCAGAAGTCTTCTTGGTTCTTTCGGCGAAGTCACGAAGAAGGGAAATAATAAAATAGTAAAAATAAAACATAAAATAATTCTCACGACGTTTCGGCCACAACGCAAGCAGCCATCCTCAGGTGAAGACCAGGTCTGTCGGGGAGACAGCGTCTGAATGTCTGTCTCCCCGACAGACCTGGTCTTCACCTGAGGACGGCTGCTTGCGTTGTGGCCGAAACGTCGTGAGAATTATTTTATTATGCTTTATTTTTGTTATTTTATTATTTCCATTCTACGTGACTTTACCGAAAGAACCAAGAAGGTGGTCCCACCAACTGAGCTATGTGTGACCGCCTGAGGCTTGGCTTTGTCACTGCTGTCTGGGAGACGAAGAGACGTCAATCTTTACACGTGCAACTCCCGCATTTAATGATCGCGATGCTTGAATAATTCCGTGTGAAATACGGGAGCGATATTACAAGCATTGAACAAGCATTTTGCTTTCATAGTGACAACTTCCGCCAAAAAGTTGAAGGCGGATTTTTTTCGTCTCCCCAATTTTTGGAAAAACGAATTAAATATACGATGTGCAGATCAAAAATTGAAACGTGTTAATATTGCATCATGTCCCCCCCTCTCCCCAACATAGCTCCGGCAAAGCTTTGAAGTGCTCACACACACGCACGCACGCACACGCACGCGCGCGCACGCACGCACACACGCACGCACGCATGCACGCGCGCACACACACGCACGCACGCGCACGCACGCGCGCGCACGCACGCACGCACACACACGCACGCACGCGCGCCCACACACACGCACACGCGCGCACACACACACGCACGCGCACGCACACGCACGCACGCACACACGCACGCGCGCACGCACGCACACGCAGCGATGTGAAATTAGTGGAGAGACGCGAACTGGGAAGGTGCGACAGAGATTTTAGGGTTTCACGCTCATGGGGGCAATGATTGAAGGCGGCCCTCGATCTAGCCGATAAAACTGAAAATATTTATATATTATACATTTATATATATATTATACAGATAAATAACATTGAACATATTTACATGAATGTATTTTATTTGACCAGGTACGGCCCAATGCTCTGAAGCCACCCCGGCTATCACAAATGATGGCTCAACGAGAGTGCCTGATCATCATCACGTGGAAATTAATTGCAGCCAACTACTCGAGAAACGCGCGATTGTTGTTGGTTCTAAATGTGGAGGGTGGAAGAAAAAAAAAACGGAGGACCCGGAGAAAAATCCACGCGACCACGGGGAGAACACACACACTCCAAATATACAGCAGGCTTCATACTCTTAGTTCTTTCGGTAAAGTCACGTAGGTAAAAAATGAAATAAAAATAAATACAAATAAAATAAAAATCACGACGTTTCGGAGGCATCACTTGATGCAGCAAATCTGGCTGTGACGGTGTCCCACCTGATGACGGAGACTTGTGTTGCCTCCGAAACGTCGTGATTTTTATTTTATTTTTATTAATTTTTATTTCATTTTTTACCTATGTGACTTTACCGAAAGAACTAAGAGTATGAATCCTTGCAGTCACGAAAGCTTCAAATCTAGAATTATACAGCGGGCGTCAGGGTCGGAATCGAAACGACGACCTCCTGTATACCGGGCGAAGTATTTAACATCTCGCCACCAAGGCAGACAGGGGAGGGGGGGGCCGGGGGGGGGGTGTTTGGGAAGAAAATAATTAACCCGTAAAAACAAAGTTTTTCACTATAAATCCTTTATATGCGTGGCGGCGAGAGTCCTCTCGTCCTCTGGCTTGAGATGGCTGCCACCTATGGGTCAGATGATTGCCTGCCACCATTAAGCAATTGGTAATTAAATCAAAAAATGTTTTTCCTAAAAAGTGTAAAGTTATGGAAAAAAAATTTCACGAAAATAAATTGTCACGCACAACGAGTCTGTGTGCAAAATGTCAGCTCGATTGGATCACGGGAAGTGGGTTAAAAAACGACCGAAAGATTTGCATGGTCTTAAGCGCGCAAGCAAGCAAGCAAGTGAACTTAATATAAAGGATAAAAAAAAGCAAACTTGTCAATGAAAAACCAAAACCTCCCACCAACGTTGCATACAGAAAAGACGGCGGTCACCACGTCGCATTCAGACGCGCTTCAAAGGCCGTCTGGAACGCTCTTCCCTACCGATTTTCAGAAGCCACTGGAGCAGCTATGCGCTTTTAAATCATCTAGATTGACCAATTCATTTTTATTCAGAACTTATTTTTTCGTATCTACTTGGTTCTAAAAAAAAAAATACAATTGTATTTTATTGTTTTATTTCTGTTATTTCCCTTCTACGTGACTTTACCGAAAGAACCAAGAAGATGAATCCCTGCAGTCACGAAAGCTTTAAATCGAAATGTATTTTTTTGTATTTTTAGTTTGCGGTCCTTCTCCCCCCACCTTCTCCTCCGATGAGCACGGATGGCCATGTACGGTGGACGAAATAAGTTCAACATACACATGCCCGGCGGGGTGGAAGGAGCGGTTGGGGGGTGGAGTAATTTCTTCTGGATCTTTCCGGAGGATTGACGGCCCAACGATAATTTCCACCCCACGGCGCACACCACATTCCAGTCCACTTCTCGCTGTGGGAGTGGCCCCCATTCATCCTGCACCACCTAGCAGCACCCCAGTCAATGAACATACCACATTGGGATCGTCAAGATGAATCACCTGCGTGTGTGCGCACGCCAGCTGCACGGGCGTGGTGCTGGCCCACCCTGATGTTGAACTTCTTTCGCACCGTACGTAGCCGACCGTGCCAATTTGGACGCTGCGGGGAAAGGACGGCAAACTCAACACAACCAGCGGTTCTAATGACAAACGAGTTTTCAATCGAGATTTTAAAGTGCATATAGCTCCCAGTGGCTTCCGAATATCGGAAGAGCGCGTTCCAGACGGCCGCAGAAGCGCGTCTTAAAGCGCGCGATGCGGCGATCGTCTTTGTTCGATGAGCAACAGCGAGGATGAACAATTCTAGATTTGAAGCTTTCGTGACTGCAAGGATTCATACTCTTAGGTTCTTTCGGTAAAGTCACGTAGGTAAAAAATTTATAATAGAAAAAATAATAGAAATAAAATAATAAATCACGACGTTTCGGAGGCAACACAAGCTTCCGTCTTCAGGTGGAACCGTCACAGCACGACTGCTGTATCAAGATACATTTTATTTCTATTATTTTTTCTATTATTTATTTTTAGTATTTATTTTTTTACCTACGTGACTTGACCGAAAAAACCCAAGAGTAGGATGAACACTGTTTGCGTGAAGACGTGTTGCGCTCCTTGACGAGATCGGCAAAGGTCGGTGCTTCACGTGTGCTACTCGCCAACAGCAGCAGCAGCTGCCCCGCGGTCTGCCGAGGCTCCACGTGGGTGACCTTTTGCCCTCGATGCGCCGCAGGTTCTATGGACCATCGTCACCGCGACTGACGCCCGCCACACATTTAAGGCCCGACGTGGGACACCGCGATGCGCGTCGGGACATTTTGTTGCATTTAGACGGAGGCGCTGACGTGGATCTTTTTTTCCCGGAAGGTAGACGAAGCGGTGTTTCATTTAAAGCTCTCTCGTCTCGGACGCCCCGGGGGCTGCGGGCTCTGAAAATAGAACCCAGCTTTGTTCTGTCAAGATGCCCCCGGGTCTCCCTCCCTAAATCTCTCTGCTCGGTCTCGCTCTCTCTCTCTCATCCTCCACTCCGTCTGTCACAAACTCGCGCTCTCCCCCCCTCTGGGCTCGGTTGAGTGGGGGGGGGGGAAACATTTCGGGTCCACTTTAGTTGACAATTCTTCTTGGATAATGCCTCCCGCGAGCTCTCTGTAGGCTAAACAGAGGCGAGCAAAGATAAAGATCCCCCGTATAGCCTGCAACAGACTGTAGGGGCAAGTGCTGTTAGCGAGAACCTATAAAGGCCGGCACGGCACACGAGGGGGTGGGTGGGCAACACCACGCCCGGCCGCCTTTGTCTCCCTAAGTGGCGATGTTTACACATCGCACCAGGTACTCATTTGGAGGCTGAGTTGACCTAGGGGGAGGCCCAGGGCCGGTTCAGACAATCGTCACTGATGTTGCCCGCGAGCGGGAATCGAACTCGGGTTTGTAGCGCAGCACGCAAACCACTACACTACCACTCGAGCGTACACACACGCAGCTACAAAGACAAAGCTCCCCCATATAGCCTTAACAGACTGTAGGGGCAAGTGCTGTTAGCGAGCACCTATGAAGGCCGGAACGGTACACGAGGGGGGTAGGTAACCAACACAACGCCCGGCCGCCTTTGTCTCCCTAAGTGGCGATGTTTACACATCGCACCAGGTACTCATTTGGAGGCTGAGTCGACCTAGGGGAGGCCCAGGACCTGTTCAGATCAACAGACACACTCTCGCAGTCGCTCTGGATTCAAAGACACGCTCCACACTCTCCTCTCTCTCCCCATCTCTCCCTGCTTCTCTTTCTCTCTCCATCCATGCATCTTCTCGTTCTACTCCCCCCCCCTCCCCCCGTCTCTTTATCCTGTAAAAACACACACTCAATGCAAACTCTGTGAAATAAACAACAGAGACAGAGACCAAGAAACATAAAAAAAAACTGTTTTGGCCAACACCGCTCTTTTAATTTAATCCAGTCCACGTGGTTTTTTTTTTCAAGTGATTTATTATTTAGTTATCAATATATATGACTATGTACAGCTTTTATTAATCGTGTTTATTTACTTATTCCACATCTCCCTTATAATCCTCTTTTAATAAAGTGATAAAAGTGGCAAACGTACATTTGACTCTCTCTTTAGCAAAGGTTAAAAAAAAAATGTTTCCGATACCCGGAGCCGCAACAAGCATTGGTGATTGGATATCGATCGATGTTGATTTTTAAAAAGGACTCGGGATTGATCCGGATTGGTTTCGGGAGTTCAAGAGATAGTTTATGGTTTAAAATGGCATTACCGGCGGACACTCATCCGATCCAGAACCCTCGTCTCATCCGATACGGAATCCCCGTTTCATCCGATACAGCACGCTTGCTGTTGTACAGAGTCTGTGCACCGAACAGAGAACGGGTGTTGAATCCGATGCAGAACCATCGGCCCATCTCATGACGAGCCATTTCACCCGATGCAGAACCGTCGTCGCGTCAGATTGAGAACTCACGTTTCACCGGACACAGAAACCTCCACCCCCCCCCCCCGTCCATCACGTGCAGTGTCATCCAACGGTCGATCGCCCGCGTAACGCCAGTACGTATAAATTAACGCTACAAATAACGTAACGACATGCGATTAAACACAAACAAAATGTGCAAACCACTATTTGGCGACTAACCGACAATTCGCGACCGACTGCCACCCCAAGGCTCTCGCCAATTACGCCAACGGTGAATCACGACCCGAGGTTGCAAATCATCACCGTCGTCACCGCGCTCGCAACCGATGGAACCCGCACTCACGCGCGCGCGTGTGCGGCCGCGTGCGCCTGACATACACAAGACAAGCATCTCCACACAACAGCCTGGACGGACCGAGCTACGGCTGTTGGCGAGCACCCATTAAGGTCGGCAGGACGCGCGAGGAGAGTGACGTGGCCGAAACCAGACCCGCCCGCCCGCCGGACCGGCCGGCCGGAGAATCTCTACCCACGCCACCCGCACTCATTGCGAGCGGTACCAGGTACTCATTGAAGGCCGAGTTGACATAGGGGAACCCCAGGACAGGTTCAGACCCTACTCCGCCACTAAGATCACACTCGCGCACACATGCACACATGCACTCGCACACAAAAGACAAAGACCCCCCCCATATAGCCTAAACACACTTTTGGGACAAGTGCTGTGAGCGAGCACCTATGTCTCCCCAATGCTGATGTTTCGACACTGCACGGGCTGTTCAACCCGGTCGAGTCAACTTCAGGGAGGTCTAGGACCAGAGTGGAAATTGAATTCGAGTCGCTGGGTTCGTAGTGCGGTGCACTAAAGCACTGCACCAAAGATAAAGATCGCCCCTTATAGCCTTAACAGATTGTTGGGGCAAGTGCTGTTAGCGAGCATCTATATAGGATGGCACGGCACACGAGGGGGTGGGTGGCCAACACCACGCCCGGCCGCCTTTGTCTCCCGAGTGCCGATGATGTACACACCGCACCAGGTACTCATTTGATGCCAAGTCGACCTAGGGGAGGCCCGGGACCGGTTCAGATGATCGTCACTGGGTGTTGGCCGTGAGCGGGAATCAAACCCGGGTCGCCAGATTCGTAGCGCATCGTGGCGCTAACCGCGATGCCGCCGCTCCCTACACACACACACAAAGATACTCGCACACACAAACAACTCACACACCCAGCCACCTAGTCTCCAACCCAAGGCTGATATATTATCAAGACCCACAACCACTAACAGCACTGCCACACCTGGTATTACTTCAGGCAGAGTCAACCTAGCGGTGGCCCAGGCCAGTGCAGTTACTAAATGGTGACGTGCATCGCGGCTAGGAATCGAACTCGGGTTGCCGGGATTCGTGGTGTGGTGTGTGAACATCTGCTCCACCGCTCCCCATGTAACCTATAGCGATATGTACACATCTATATACACAAGAATATGTACACACTGATACATATGTACAATACAGGAACCGATGCATTCACAGCATTGGTAGGTGTGTATCCTGTGCGTATACGTGTGTGTTTACACACAAAACAAAGATCCCCGTATAGCCTAAACAGACTGTTGGGGAAAGTGCTGTTAGCGAGCACCTACGAAACCCGGCATGGCACACGAGGGGGTGGGTGGCCATTACCACGCCCGGCCGCCTTTGTCTCCCCAATGGCGATGTTTATACACTGCACCAGGTATTTATTTGAGGCAGAGTCGACCTAGGGGAAGCCCAGGACCGATTCAGATAATCGTCACTGGGTGTTGGCCGTGAGTGGAAATCGAATTCAGGTGGCCGGGTTCGTAGCGCTAACCAATTCACTGCCGCTGTGGTTACACACACACACACACGTGTACGTACAGACATGCACACAAAGTAACATTCATAATGAAAACGATTCGAATCAAATTAAAGTCTACCATGGCATGTTAATTAAAATAAAATGGACATGCCAGATTTGCATAATTGCCTGCATTCAAATGTAATGGAATCCATCTCGTAAGCATTGAATTTTTCAGATAAAAAAAAAACTATTACCCAGTATTAAGGAGCATCTTTGCATTGGGATGTTTGGCCAATTACTTTTAGAAGACGAACGTTTAGTACCAACATAAGCAGTGCCTGGAGAAAGCCACGTGTAGGGTACGGGAATAACTTGCAAAACTCAACTATGGCAAGAGAACCTTGAACAACCTACTTGCTGTACTGGGTCAATAAAATATAGAAGCGATCGTCTTGACAGTAGATTAAGTGCACGCAACATATATAGATATGATTTGTAAAACAACTTGGCACCATCATCATTAACATTGCCTCAAACACAGATAAAAACGTGTGTTTACTCTACATGTCTGCGTCTTAAGACTGGCTAAGAGACTGTTTGACTCTGCGAATGAACAATGGATTGTATATGATAATATAACAAAAAATATCCAGTGTTCTACGAGTGACACCCAATGCAATGTGCCGTCTCAAAGTACGAGTCGGTCAATCGTGTTGCCCTCTCCACCACCACGACCACCATCACCGTCGTCACCATCACCACCGCCACCACCACCGTCATTCACCACCACCACCGTCGTCACCACCGTCGTCACCGCCACCACCACCGTCGTCATCACCACCACCACCGTCGTCACCACCACCACCGCCACCACCACAGTCACCATCAACGTCGTCACCACCATCACCACCATGACCACCGTCACCACCACCGTCGTCACCAACATGGCCACCGTCACCATCACCATCACCACCATGACCACCGCCACCACCACCGTCATTCACCACCACCAGCGTCGTCACCACCATGACCACCGTCACCACCACCGTCGTCACCACCGTCGTCACCACCATGACCACCGTCACCATCACCACCACCACCGTCGTCACCACCATGACCACCGTCACCATCACTTCACACCAGCAGCAGAGAGGGTTCATTGTTGTCTTCATATCATCATCAGTCATTATCAGCAACATCACCATCATCGCTGCTGCTGCTGTCGTTATCCACGTCATCGCCGTCGCATCCACGACCATCGTCACCGTCGCCATGGTCACGCCACAACAATATCACCGCCGCCACTGTTGCTATGCCCATCGTCATCAATGCGCCGCCGCCACCACCGCCATCACCCACCGTCGCTACCATCACCGGCATCAGTGTGACCAGTGCTATCGCCACCACCATTCTCGTGACCACCACCATCATTATCATCGTTGTCACCATCAACATTGTTATCGCCATTCCTATAACCATCCCCGGGCGTCATCGCCACCGTCACCACCACCAATGTCATTCCCATCACCATCGACACCACTTTTGTCGCCGTTGCTGCCAGTGTTACAACGGTCACCGCCACCACCACAGTCACCATTACCAGTGTCACCGCCACCATCACCACGATCACCACCATCACCACCACCGTCATCATCATCATTGTCAGTGTTATCACCGTCAACATCACCGTTACCAGTGTCACCGCCGCCACCGTCACCACCGTCACCATCACACCTCCGTCTGCAGGTCGCCCTCCTGGTAGACCAGCGGCAACTCCGCCCCGGGCCGCTCGCACTCCACCGATCGCCGCGGGGGGCGCAACGGCAGAGGGGGCGGCAGCTGCTGCTGCTGCTGCTTCTGCTGATGCTTCTGCTGCTGCCCTGCAACAGCCGCCGAGCAGCAGGTAGCAGCGGACGAGGAGGAGGCGGAAGAGGAGGCGGAGGAAGAGGGGGCGGGGCACGGGGTATAGGCCGGCGGGCGCCGAGTGCTCGCTTGGGGGAAGAGGAGGGGGGGGCCGCCCTGGTGAAGGCCGGGGATACGCGGGACCCCTCCCCCGCCGTGGGCGTAGGGGGGCGGCAACAGGGGGTGCGCCTGATGCGTCGCGTGCCCTTGCTGATGCGCTTGCTGGAGCGACAGCAACTGCAGCTGCTGCTGCTGGTGGAGCGCGTGAGTGAGCGGTTGCTGCTGCATCAGTGGCTGCGTCGGGTGCGGCTGCTGCAGCGACAGCAGAAGCAGCTGCTGTTGCTGCTGCTGCTGCTGCTGGGCGGACAGCGGCTGCTGCATGTGTGGGTGCGACGGGTGCGGAGCGGCGTGCGCAGGTTGAGCCGTCCTGCTCCGCAGCGGCTCCTGCGGGAATAATCGCGAGTTGGGAATTACGATCGGCGTGTGCTGACCGCAGCGCGGCGCGGCCCCGTTACCCCCTTGCCCCTTGCGCCCCGACCCCCGTCCCTACCCACCTTCTCCCCCCGCCCCCCCACCACACCGTTAAGGCCTTGCTAACACGCGGGCAACTTTAGGGGCAATCACTGGCGACAACAGTCCGAGCGATTATGAGAGACACGATACGGGCGATGGTATAGAGCGGCGTGTCGGCAGCCTGCGGCTTCGGAGCCGCACGCGGTGGCACTTCAAGGACTGCAGTGCAGGCTCTTGGCCAGTTCACCATGGGAGTCCAGTTCACCATGGTAGTCCAGTTCACCGTGGGAGTCCAGTTCACCGTGGGAGTCCAGTTCACCGTGGGAGTCCAACTCACCATGGGAGTGCAGTTCACAATGAGAGTCCAGCTCACCATGGGAGTCCAGTTCACCATGGGAGTCCAGTTTACCATGGGAGTCCAGCTCACCATGGGAGTCCAGTTCACCATGGGAGTCCAGCTCACCATGGGAGTCCAGTTTACCATGGGAGTCCAGTTTACCATGGGAGTCCAGCTCACCATGGGAGTCCAGCTCACCATGGGAGTCCAGTTCATCATGGGAGTGCAGTTCACCATGGGAGTCAGTTCTCCATGGGAGTCCAGTTCACCATGGGAGTCCAGCTCACCATGGGAGTCCAGTTCACCATGGGAGTCCAGTTCACCATGGGAGTCCAGCTCACCATGGGAGTCCAGTTCACCATGGGAGTCCAGTTTACCATGGGAGTCCAGTTCACCATTGGAGTCCAGTTTACCATGGGAGTCCAGTCTCCAGTTTACCATGGGAGTGCAGTTCACCATGGGAGTTTAGTTTACCATGGGAGTTTAGTCCACCATGGGAGTCTAGTTCACCATGGAGGGGAAGGCAAACTGCGGCTCCGGAACCGCACGCGGTGGCTCTTCAAGGACCGTTTCGTGACGGCTCTTGAAATATTGTTTTTTTTTTGTACAGAAGTCCCGAAAAAATTGTCTCCTCTTGTTGTTTTGGTTGCCGACCCCTGGGATAGAGTGACTGATCACCACGACCCCAACGTCAACACTAACGATGACGCCGACAAAAGAACGCTGACTCCAACCCTATAAAAAAAACCCGCTAACCACAGCCCCGATACCGACCCTAATAATAAACCGTAACAATAACCACGACGCTGGCCATATATCCCTGATACTGATGCTCAGGAGGCGTTCATCCAGCAACGGACAGAAGGCGCGAGGAGGAACCCGAGCCGAGCTGGTGAAGGCAGCAGCCAACTTAGTTTGGAGCTTTCGTGACTGCAGGAATTACTCTTTGGTTCTTTCGGTAAAGTCGCGTAGAAAGAGAAAATAATAAATTAAATACTAGCATACGACGTTTCGATTGCAACACAAGCAATCATCATCAGGTATAAATGAAATAGAAACACAAATCTAGTACACTTAGAAATGTAATGTAATACAACAGAGAGTCGGATAACATAACAGTCAACACCCTAACTGCTTGATTACGTTCTTCCTGAGAATGCTAAATTTGAGACTTTACCGAAAGAACCAAAGAGTTAGGCAGCAGCAGCCGCGGCCACGCAGTGGAGCCAGCACCAACAACTGCCCAAGAGTTCTATGGTCCTCCATATCTGAAGGCGTTCTCGGTCAATTAAAGAAATGTTTAAAAATGTGGGAGGAAATCGGAGCGCCCGGAGAAAAATCTCGCGTGCAAAGGGCGGACACAAACAGTCGATCCCGTAAAGACGGGGGTTGTGCAGCAGCATCTGCGTGGTGATCCGCCAACCTTCGCCAGGGAAAACCTATTCTCATATTTTGCTACTGGCAAAGGAGTTCCCATGATGTAGATGCTCACCCCGAGCTCTCATTACTCTGATCGTGCATTGTCTTTGTACTGTACAACTTTTGGTGTCCTCTGGTCTAACACCTTTTGAGACGAGGCTCCAAAGAAAGCTGTCTCTGGTGTGGACCAATCAGTTTCAAAGACAATGCATATACAAGAGTATTTTTTTTTTGCATTCAAACCACACGTATTGTGGTTAATGCAGACATGATTCTTTGTAAAAGGTTTCATTTTGGTGTTTAAACATCTTAACACAGCTGTTTTGTTGCCAGAAAAAAGGTGGAAAACCTGCTGGATTACTTACAGGCAGCCAACACCACCAGCAGCAGCAGCGGCAGCACAGCCACCTCCGCTCTTAACCCACCACGAACGCAGAAAAAACCCACAACACTAACCGCGGCATCAGCCGCAGCACCAACGTCCAGCGATGATCGCCGAGACTTCACATCCTTTACCTCCGAGTCCACCTTGACGGTGTCTTTGTCCATGAACGGCTGGTTCAACATCTCCTTGTGTCTCTTTCTCGTGTGCATGATTTTCTGCAGGCGGCAAGAAGGGGCGGACGCAACGGTCAAACGCGTTTTTTTTTTTGCGCGCCTACCGAAACCTGACCGCGCGCCTCGCGATCACGAGAGTCAACGTCCGGATGTGTGTGCATGTTGGGATTTCATTCGCACCGAACGTAGCCGACCGTGCTAATCGGAGGTATGAGGGGGGGGGGAAAGGGCAACAAACGAAACTAAAAAAGCAGTTCTCAAAGAAACGAGTTGTCAATCTCGATGATTTCAAAGTTCATTGCTCCAGTGGCTTCCGAATATGATAAGAGCACTGCAGACGGCCGCAGAAGCGGATCTGAAAGCTCGCAAAGCGGTGACTGTCTTTGTTCGATGGCTGGCAGCTAAAAGCCGCTGCTGCGAGCTTCACCGGAGTTCGTGTGATGGTTTACGCAACCGTCACGCAATGGCCGGCTCGGTGGTGAGCGTGTGGTGAGCGTGTGGGGAGCGTGTGGCGAGCGTGTGGCGAGCGTGTGGTGAGCGTGTGGCGAGTGTGGTGAGTGTGTGGTGAGCGTGTGGTGAGCGTGTGGTGAGCGTGTGGCGAGCGTGTGGCGAGCGTGTGGTGAGCGTGTGGTGAGCGTGTGGCGAGCGTGTGGTGAGCGTGTGGCGAGCGTGTGGTGAGCGTGTGGTGAGCGTGTGGTGAGCTTGTGGTGAGCGTGTGGTGAGCGTGTGGTGAGCGTGTGGTGAGCGTGTGGTGAACGTGTGGCGAGTGCTCTGATGAGGGTTGACCATCATCATCGTCGCCGCCGTTCTTTCTCCAGAATAGATCAAATGAGGTGTGTGTAGGACGTTCGTTTTGTGGATGATAAGGGCAATACATCTTAATTCTAGATTTGAAGTTTTCGTAAAGTCGCGCAGGTTAAAAAAGAAAACAACTAAATTAAATCACGACGTTTCGGAGGCGACACAAGCCTCCGTCTTCAGGTGGAGCCGTCACAGCAAAATTACCGTATCAAGATGTAACAATTCATCTTGTTTATACTTCTACAACACAACCACGGTGGCAAAATGTTAACTACCTCGCCTAGTATACAGGGGGTAAGTGGGTTTGACCCCGACCCTGATGCCTGTTCTAATTGGAGTTTGCATGTTCTCCCCCGTGGTCACGTGGATTTTTCTCCTGGTCGTCCGGTTTTTCCCTCCACATTTAAAAACGTGCGCTTAGAGTATTTGTCTGCTGTACATTTCCTCATGATAAGCCACTTCGTTGAGCTATCATTTGTGGCCAGGTCGCTTCTGAAAGAGCTAGACAGCTCAGTGGGCCTTACCTGGTAAAATAAAAATAGTTTAATAGTTTGGTAAATATTCTATACCACACATGACTATTATTGGCCATTTACCCAGGACGGACTCATCGAGTCTCGCGACTTTTTCAGAAGGGTCCTGCCAAGTTACTACTGCTGCTGCTGCTGCCAGCATGTATATCTCCAATCGAGTCAAATGTGCCAAATTGTAATTCTTCTTCCACCTCCAACCCAGCTTATATATATGCTAAATTCCTCTTGATATGCAAATTAATTTGTCAAGGCGCTCTTCCCCCCCTCCAACCCAGCTTAAAAAGGCGCTCCAAGCCTGGGGTTGTCATTCAGACTCTGTCTTCTCGACAGACCTGTTCTTCACCTGAGGACGGCTGCTTGCGTTGTGGCCGAAACGTCGTGAGAATTATTTTATTACTTCCCTTCTACGTGACTTTACCGAAAAAACCAAGAAGATGAATCCCTGCAGTCACGAAAGCTTTAAATCGAAATTTAATTCTTCAATTTGACAAAATTTGGATCGTGACGCCGGTGCACGGTGGCCTACTGCTCTCTCGCGAACGACGTCAAGCGATCTCTAGCGTCCGTTGCGAGCGAAGCTGACGGTAACAAACACGCCGCGGACGTTAACCAGGGGCGGCCGCTGGATTCGAACCGTCAAGCTCGGCAGCGATCAGCGGGCGGACGCGCTACCACGCTTGATCCGTCACCGCCCGACATTTTCGTCAAATATTAAATCAGCCGTTCAACCGATGAGCGCGCGCGTGCTACGATTACAAAGTCGCGCGCACTTTGAAAATTCGTTCCGGCATCAGCAACAATTTGAGAGCCGGCGTAATGGAAGAGGTCTCCGTAAATGGTGCAGCTGATTCGACGGGCGGACAACCACGCAGCGTAACTAATAACGTAGAATATAATTACAATAACACACATTACAACTGATTACTAATCTACAACTCACATCGTAACAATTGCCCGATTTCTAATCTAGTATAAATCGTTGCACCTGATGAGCCAAATGATGACGTCACCCTGCTGCTGCTGCTCTATTTAAGGCCGGAAGCAAGAGCAGAGCCTCACCATTCTGGCGAATTGCCCGATGATGCTGGATGCAATTACCAGCGAAATGTCGTGCTACTCAAACATTTTAAATGTTGTGGTTTCACGCTTCAACACACCGGTGGGCTAAAGCAGTGAACGAATTTGTCTTTTGTCAACGTGACACTTTTTTGCTGATTGGCCGTGTCGGGTGGTGGAGGGTTATGACACATTTATAAATAACGCGATCTAACCCAAAAACGTTGATTATGAACGTAGGAGGCTTTCGCGACCAATATCATCCGTAAAGGTTTTTGTGGGGTTTGATCGCGTGAATATATAAATTTTGTGTCATTAAAACCGCCACCAACTGACACAGCTAATTAGGCAAGGTTTGTCACGTAAACAAAACGTGCAAATTAGTTACTACTTCAGCACACCGGTGTGTTGGAGAGTAAACACAACATTCACAATTCTAAATAATCGAGTGACACGAATTATTTTCCCAGAGCTGAAATTTTTTAAAATAATTCATAAAAATGTGAAGACACCTTTAATATGATGGAGATTTTTTTTTCTGTGTCTATGCAGTTATTGGTGACCGAGCTGACACCACAAACTAATGAAACTGGGAGGGACACCAAGTATTTAATCACCACAGGCGGCTGAAACCCAGGTTCGAACCCAGCGGCTCGGCTACCTGACCTCTGCGTCACCCGCCCCCCCCCTTCCCCACCTCTGTAAACACAGGGTAATCGCTGCAAGTTGCACTGACCTCAAAATCCAGGTCGGAGTACTTGGACTTTCGTCGCTAAAAGTGGAAACACAAAAAACAACGTCACAAGTCACGATCTGAGCAAATTCCATTCCGCCAGAAATTAACCGAAAACATCTCCCGATTTTAGTCCAAACGTGCTATCATGTTGTCAAGAGATGGAACAATGTTTCTATTGAGAGTTCGGCGGCTAGCAGTGCATCACACCCTGCGTCAGTGAATTGTTCCAGAAGATGATATTACAAAACAAGTTCTGCATAGGCCTCTTATCCTGACTGTGTCCCACCTCTTACATGCCTTGCAATGTGTGCAAGTGTGTATGTCCGTGTGGGGGAGCGGTGGTGTAGCGGTTACCACGCTGCGCTATGAACCCGGCGACCAGAGTGTGCGATTCGTACTCACGGCCAACACCGGTGACGATTATCTGAAACAGTCCTGGGCCTCCCCTAGGTTTACTCAGCCTCAAGTGAGTTCCCTGGTGCGGTATGTAAACATCGCCACAGGAGAGACAAAGGCGGTCGGCCAGTGGTGCTGGCCACTCACCCCCCCCCCCCGTGTCCCGTGTCAGCCTTCATAGGTTCTAACAGCACTTGCTCCAAAAGTATGTTATGGCTATAAGGGGGATCTTTGTCTTGTGTTTATGTAGAACTTCGTTTGCACCGTACGTAGCCAACCATGCTAATTGGAGGTGTGGGGGAAAGACAACAAACTAAACCACAAAAGCAGTTCTAAAGAAATTAGTTTTTTTTATGTTTTCAATCTAGATCATTAGAGTAGCCAGGTCGCTTCTGAAAAGACCTATATAGGCACAGCGGGCTTTACGCGGTAAAATAAAAAGAGTTTCGCTTTGAGTTGAAGTTTAGACCTCAGCGTTCACAGGCAGTGTAAATCCACCAACCCTCGCCGCCTCCAAAAGCGCTTGCCTTTTTAGTTTTATACAAAAACAAATCGCTGACACAGGCCCCAACGGCTCAACGCGTCAAAGGAAGGGCAACGCCGCAGGGCCTTGCCGGGTGAGCTAGCGGGCCGCCCCCGGGGGAGCGGCCGCGTCGCGTGTGCGGCAGAGGTCGCAAACGGGTTTTGATTCCTTACCCGTACCCGGCCGCACCAGGGTCGCAAACGGGTACCCGTACCCGTACCCTACCCGATACCCGGCTACCTGTACCCGGCCGGGTATCGGGTAGGCTACGGGTATCGGGTACCTGATTGCGACCTCTGGGATGAAGCCATGTTGCAGACGCGGGTGGGTTGATTCTAGGAACTTGAATTGTGAGAAGAGACAAGACGTTGGGAAATGAGTGACAAACGGTGACTCACCAGTGACTCACGGCCTACCCGTACCCGTACCCGGCCGCACCAGGGTTGCAAACGGGTACATGGCTACCCGTACCCGGCCGCACCAGGGTCGCAAACGGGTACCCGTACCCGGCTGGATACGGGTAGCCGGGTATCGGGTAGGGTACGGGTATCGGGTACCCGGTTGCGACTTCTGGTGTGCGGTGCGCACCTCGAGCGAGCTCTCGCTGGCGTTGGACACCGCGTCGCCGGCGTCCGTCTTCCCGGGGACCCCTCCGCCCACCGCCTTCTTCCCCGAGTTGCCCGCGACCGGGGCGGACGTGACGTCGCTCGACTGCGAGCGGGCGTCGCTGGAGTTCCCGGACCCCTCGCCCTCGTCCCTCCGCGTGCAATAATTCTACAAAATGACAACAAAAAATTAACCCGTAAAAACAAAGTTTTTCACTATAAATCCTTTATATGCGTGGCATCGGTTTTATTTGATTATTCATTTCTGTTTTTCTTGAGTAAGAGTTTCATTTTTATCACATTGGTATTTTAAATTAAATATGAAATTTTTTTCTTCCTAAAAAGTGGAAAATTTTGGAAAAAAAATTTCACGAAAATAAATTGTCACGCACAACGAGTCTGTGTGCAAAATGTCAGCTCGATTGGATCACGGGAAGTGGGTTAAAAAACGACCGAAAGATTTGCATGCAAGCAAGCAAGTGAACTTAATATAAAGGATTCAAAAAACAAAGACGGAGTGTGAGAGGGTTAAACGGAGTTGGCGAGCCACAGAGTCCGCTGAAAAGCAGCAGCGCAAGAAAGCTCCTGCCAAAGGGGGAAGAGGATGTGCAAATGACATCTAACGATTTGTGGGTTCAGATCCGTTTGTATGTATAGATGTGGAACTTATTTCCCACCGCACATAGCCAACTGTGTGCTAATCGGAGTTGCGGGGGAAAGCCAACAAACTAAACACAAAAAGCAGTTCTAAAGAAATGAGTTTTCAATCTAGATTTAAATTGCATAGCTGCTCCTGTGGCTTCCTGATATCGGAAGGAAGAGTGTTCCAGACGGCCGTAGAAGCACCTCTGAAAGCGCGCAATGCAGTGACCGCCTTTAATTTACCCGCCCTGCACACTGGATAGCTACGCCACTGTTGGACCCCACCACCACCCCCCCACCACCATCACCCCACACGCACCTGCAGTTCGTTGATGCCCTCCGAGCCCAGGTAGGTGTAGGGTCTCTGCGTGAGCAGGGGCACTGACTCCACGAGGCTGGGGGGCGCCGGCTGGGCGGGTGCAGCGTTGCTCCCCACGTGCGCACCCCGGCACCCGGCTCCAAGACCGACGCCAGTTCTGCTTCCAGATCCAGTTCCCGCTTCTCCCCCGGCTCCCTCCGTGGCTGCCGCTGCCCCGGCACAGGCCTCGGCCTCCCCAGGAAGATCCCCAGATGGCCCCTCTGTCCCGTCACCCTCCCCAGCTGCCCCGGCTGCCCCATCCCGTTTGGCTCCAGAACTCTTCCCGGCTGCGCCCGCCTCTCCGTCCGCCGGTTGCGCGACCGCCGCTTCGGCATCGCTGCCGTTGTTGCCGTCGTCGGCATCGTCGTGGTCACAGTCATCGCCACCGTCATCGTCATCGCCTCCTCCTCCTCCTTCATCATCATTACCTTCTTGGGCGCCATCAGTGGCGTCGGTGTCGAGGTGGGGGTGGTGCAGTACGGGGAAGGCCGGGCCAATCAAGGCCTCCTTGCTGGGGTCTGACGGGCACGCACAAAGACAAAGATTTACCCGTGTAGCCTTGAGCGAGCTGTCGGGGCAAGTGCTTTTAGCGAGCACAAATAAAGGCCGGCCGGCACGGCACGCAAGGGGGTGGGGTGGCCAACACCACGCCCGACTGCCTTTGTCTCCCCGGTGCTGATGTTTACACACCGCACCAGGTACACATTTACAGCGGAGTCCATCTGGGAGAGGACCAAAACCGATTCAAATATTCACCGATATTACCCGGGCCGCCAGGCTCATAGCGCAGTGCGCTAACCACTACACGCTCGCTCTCCACGCACGCATGTACACAAGCACTCATGCACATGAATGGCTGGGTGGCAGTGCCATGTGAGAGTACACATTTTCGTTAATAAGCGAGGTTTGTTCGTCTTGGTAGAGAGATCCAAGCTAAAGGGGGCATCCCTGAAGTCACTAGCTCATGACAATGCTGGTGGAAAAGGACCTCCACTGATGGGAGCTAAGGGGAGAAGGCATTTTTCTCTACGCTTCCATCACTGGCCAGACGTCGTGGTAAGAGTTAGGAGTAAACCGTGGAGACATGAGACATTTAATTGTATGAATGTTTCTCGATAAAGTCAAACATTGTTTAGCAGTAGGTTTTTACCCTTTAAACTGGTACAAAACTGACACCTTTATACAAGGCATCATGTTTGCAATAACCACAACACAAGCAGTCGAATGCAAACAAAAAGAAACAACTCTGATAATGGTAATAATATGCACTGCCTTTTGGCGTCATCTGGTCCAACACCAGTGGAGACTAGGCTCTAAGGAAAGCTGTCCTTGGTGTGGACCAATCAACTTCAAGGACAGTGCATATTATCATTATCAGAGTTGTTTCTTTTTGTTTGCATTTGACTGCTTGTGTTGTGGTTATTGCAAACATGATGCCTTGTATAAAGGTGTCAGTTTTGTACCAGTTTAAAGGGTAAAAACCTACTACTATATTTTGCCACTGGTAAAGGAGGTCTCACAGTCAAACATCGTTATTAAAACTCACAGACAAAAGGAAGTTTATGATCATGTAGATTAGCTGCAGAGCGCATGGCCGCACTGCCTCGTTTAATATTCACAGCCAAGGCAGTCCACTCAGGCGTGCTGTGGGTAATCCACAGAGTCTGGGAAGTCTGTCGTTTGCAGCAACCTCGTTTTAGCCATCGTCACCGCGCGGAAACGAGTCAGGACTCATTATGACCGGAGGAAACCAGGGACGTGTGGTATTGATGATGAGCGATGTACCATCAACGGTCTTTGACTAAGGTTTTGAGATGTAAATAAAATCATTATTAAACGTTGACTCAGAACATTGCTTACCTTCTGTGCAAGTGCCGTCCAAGCTTTTTTCACAACCCTGCCAGACCAAACAAAATCAAGAGGCAACGCAAGCATCAGCAGAGATCACCGAGGAACCGGTGAGCCTCGTTCCCATCAACAACAACACACGTCTCGGCAAACGGCCCTCACCCCCCCCCCCCCTCCTTGCCACACGCGCTCGTCACAAACACCGTGGAGACGGAGCGACGGAATCGGCTCGTGCGCAAGCAGCCGCTGGACGATTCGCCGCGTCACGAGACCGCGAGAGGTGGAAACGATCGTGGCCCGACGATGACAACGACGACGACGACGATTTGAGTGCACGGATGTTTACCATCATGACGGAGTGGCCGTTGGGAAGATTCACGCTGCAGTCGTTCACCTCCCCCTGACAGCCTCGGAGACGGCGACGGATAGCAACCTGGACCTTCACGAGCGGGGAAGGGGGGGAGAGGGGAGTTCAGTAGGGACAGACGCACGATTGTATATTGCCAGTATCAGCTATCGTCCATTTTTAGCGCTTTCCAGGCAAGGTTGAAAGTGTTTATCCATTAACTCCATCCATCTGTCGGTCTGTAACGTGGAGTGGGGGGGGGGGGGGGGGGGGATAATTCTATAAATGACACATCAAACTGTATTGAAAACTGGCCACATTGATCAAAAGGTTATTGCCCAGATACAAACCGGTGCCAAAAAGGACTTTTTTCAAATATGCAAAACGCATTTTCCCCCAAAAACTACACGTCGGCTTCCATTATTATCATCATCACCATCATCAGCCATTTCCAAACCACTGCTGGATGATTAACCTCGCCAATCCGCTGCCATCTCTCGCAAATCCTGCGATATAACGAGTCGTCTTCCGTACTGCTAATTAAGCCTTTCCTATTCCGATGGCATACGTCACCGTACGTGCACGTCATAGGAACGAAATCGGAATAAAAAATAAACTAACTTCATCGCTCACGAGGCTCCCACAAGGCCATGCAGGTCGGGCACGTGGCACAGTTTGGCGGCAGCTATCATAGAGTGCGGTCGTGTCGCTACAGTTCTCTGCGGTGAGTACAATGCCTTTAAAAAAGATCAAAAATATCGAAACACCTCCCTAAATTCAATTTACTCGGAGCCACTTGCGCACTCCCAGATTCGGCAGTGAACAGGACGCTCACCCTGCAACTTGCAGGACGTCTCAGCACGGGACAGGGCGAAACGCTTCCGAAGACGCTGCGCGCACGTTGGTACGAGCACGGCGCAGAACGGGACGCTCACCCTGCAACTAGCAGGACATCTCGGCGGCACGGGACAGAGCGAAACGCTTCCGAAGACGCCGCGCGCACGTTGGTACGAGCACGGCGCAGAACGGAACGCTCTCCCTACAACTTGCAGGACCGTCTCGGCACGGGACAGGGCGAAACGCTTCCGAAGACGCCGCGCGCACGTTGGCACGAGCCCGGCGCAGCTCACCTCGCGCCGCAGGAAGCAGTGCACCGCGGTGATGACGAGGCCCTGCAGCGAGTCGAACACGGAGAAGAGGACCTGGAAGAGCGACGAGCGGCGGTCGGTGATGGCTAGCACGGCCGACATCCACGTGAGCGCGAGCAGAGGCAGCACCACGCACGAGCTCCACAGGGAGGCCCTGCAGACCGATTAGGGGTTCGGGGTGTAGACAGAGAGAAGGGAGAGTATTGAGAGGGTCAGTGAGAGGGCGAGTGAGAGAGCGAGAGGGAGAGGCAGTGGGCACCACACACGAGCTCCACGGGGAGGGACATTGGGCAGGAGAGTGAGCGAGAGGGTGGGTGGGTGGGTGAGCGCGAGATGGAGTAAGGGAGGAAGCATAACGAGTGGAAGGTTGAGTGCATGAAAAAATTCATGAGTGACTGAGTGAACGAGTTATGACTATGGGTCGCGGCTCCGGGTCAAAGATGTGCCTGGGGTTGAATGGTTACGGCTGGGGCTGAGCGAGGGCGATGCTCATGTAATGTGAGGTTATATCCGGGTCGTTGACGGATCACAACTCGTCACGACGATTGGCTCTGCCGGTCCTGGTTCATAGCCAATGGGGGGAAGCCTTGGGGCGTGGCCCTGACGTAATGGAAAGGTGACAGCTGGTTGTAGAGGATTGGTTCTGCTGGCTTTAGCCACAGCCAATGGGGAGACGAGTCAGGGGCGTGGTCCCGGGAGCCTCTGGAATATTCCATAGAGGCTAACGAGAATTGGTGGAAACGTACCACGTGACCCGGGTATTAAATAGGGGTGGAGACGTACGCCACGTGGTCAGAACGGGAACGAACAGAGGAAGGGGGCCACGCGTGAGCGGGGCTCCGGGTTGCCACGTGGCAGTGCGTCTCTCTCTCTATCTGTCCCTCTCAAGCTGCCTGTCAGCAGCGTGAAGGAAAGCTGTAATGCAAGTTGAATAAAAGACCGGATACCAGAAGTCGCCTCAACGAGCTTTATTACACTCACATGGCGTTGCTGTGAGTGGAGTCTCTCAGGGAGCTGCTGGACATGGCGCCGCATTTGGAGCAGCGCAGGGTGGAGCCGTTGGGTTGCTCTCCCGGGTGACTGCTCAAACACACACACGCGAATCAGTGCTCGCTCACTTACTCCCATAACTAAAACGCTCGCGCGCTTATTCAATGACTCACTCTCACAGTCGCTCACTTACCGACCTTCTCTCTCGTTCATTCATTCACGGGCTCACTCATACACTTCCTGCTTGCTCACTCACATACTTATAGGTATGCATATTGTATGTTGAACTTCTTTTGCACCGTACATATAGCCAACCATGCTAATCGGAGGTGCACGCTCACTCGTGCTCGTTCACATGATCCCTACACTCGCTCGCTCTCATGCTCGCTCAATCATTCACCGACATGCACATCCACCCGCACGCTCACTTAACAACAACAACAAGCCACCGTGACTCTTGAGGCACACAGGCAGTCACCTGACAGCCGCTGTGAGCGGACACACACTCACCGGTGGGGGGCGTCCTTCCGGATCTTGTCGGGTACGCCGTTTCTCGTGACGAGTTTATTGAAGACCAGAATTCCAATCACCATATTAATCTGAATGCCAGAACGCACACGGGAGGTGGAGGAAGAGACATGGCTAAACATCGGAGGTCCATCGATGAGTATTTGTAAAATGTTAATAGCAGGGGGAGAGGGAATTTATGAATGGAACTGAACTAAGAACCGCTATTAACAACACTGCCCAGTGAAATAATAACAAAATAAAAATATAAAACAATAAAATTCTCACGACGTTTCGAAAGCAACACAAGCAATCATAAACAGGTGTGGATTTCACACCTGATTATTTCTTGTGTTGCAGTCGAAACGTCGTGAGAATTGTATTGTTTTATATTTTTATTATTTTATTATTTCCCTTCTAGGTGACTTTACCGAAAGAACCAAGAATATGAATCCCTGCAGTCACGAAAGCCTTAAATCAAAATAAAAGACTGCCCAGATAAATAAAAACACACTTGCATTCACTTCAACAAGAACACAACGGCCGGCCTTCGCAACGAAGTGGCAGTGACATCACCACGGTGCTGGTGCCAGGCTAGGTGCATCATCACGATCACCACCACTAACGGCAGGACAGTTCCACACATTCCGAACATACATTTTAGACACTTTAAACAAGTGGTTAAATAAAACTACAAACTATTATTTTTATTTTAGCACATAAGGCCCAAGAAAGTGGCTTATCACGTGGAAATGTATAGCAGCCAAATACTCGAAACGCATGTTGCTTCTAAATGTGGAGTGAAAAAAAACCGGAGAACCCAGAGAAAAATCCACACTTTTTTGCCACGGGGAGAACATGCAAACTCCATATATACAGGCGTCAGGTTCGGGATCGAACCCACAACCTCCTGTATACAGGGTGAGGTAGTTAACATCTCGCCACTGCCAGATGTTCATGATGACATTCATCAGTCATCATGAAGTGGGTTTTTACTTGGGCATAGCACGCCAATAAATCAGGGATTCTGTCAGAGATGCTGTCTAAAAAAAAACAGATAACCATCTTCACAGTGACACTCCAATGACTATTCTTCAGCTGATTGAGTGCTGAGGTTGCCAAATTTGTGGAACTGCGAACCATTACTTCCACCACGAAGGGCTTCCCCATTACAATAAATGCGGTGGTAATAATCAACAATTCCACCAAAAATACCATGGTAATTCTCCACAATTCCACCACAACCACCACAATAACCACACCGCAGTCATCACCACTTCCGATGGACACCACGACCACTGACAGAATCACCACCATCATGACAATCACATCGTAACCCAAGTTTTGGGATTAAAACCTCACCCCCATCCTTGTCCTACTTTAAATGACAGTGACATGCCAATGATTATTATTCAGCTGATTGAGTGCTGAGGTTGCCAAATTTGTGGAACTGCGAACCATTATTTCCACCACGAAGGGCTTCCCCATTACAATAAATACGGTGGTAATTCTCAACGATTCCACCACAATCACCACAATAACCACACCGCAGTCATCACCACTTCCGATGGACACCACGACCACTGACAGAATCACCACCATCATGACAATCACATTGTAACCGAAGTTTTGGGATTAAAACCTCACCCCCATCCTTGTCCTACTTTAATTGACTATTGATCTCAGATTCCGATCACGCAGACCTGCGATTGATCGCTCTGCTTCGCAGCCTTTAAGTTCATAAATGTGTTATTTGACAATCTTACCAAAATCGTTGCGGTTAATAAGCCCAACATTTTTTCGCAAGCGATGCATTCTACTGGTCTTGTAATACTTCTTATGCTCATTGTACCACGTTGATGTACAACCTGGCCATTCGGAAACGCGAGTTGTTCTGGGATTGTTCCTGTTATTTTGCGGTCACCAGGTTTGTATTGTGTAACCAGGTCCCCATAGAAAATGTGCATTTATTGCCCAATGGGTGTTTACCTTTGCAAAAATAAATTAATTAAAACATCAGTCATCTTCACCACTACCAATAACACCACTACCACCTCCACAACAACCATCACCACCTCTATAACCACCACCACAATGACTGCACCACAGTCATCACAACGACCAATGACACCATATCAACACTGCTAAAATCATCACTACAATGCCACTACTAGCATTACCACCATGACTGTTACAATCATCACGAGCACCACTTATCATCACTACCACTACCACAATAACCACATCAAAATGATCTTCAACACTACCAATGACATCACCACCATCATCTCTACAACAACCAGCACCACCATTATCACCATGACCACAACAACTAAATCACAAACATCATCACCAACCACCACTGACATCACGACCACCACCAAGCGTCGGCCATTGTATGCCAACCTCAGGGTCCAAATTTGCCAAAATATAAAAAAATGACACCGCAAATTACTCAATTGGAATTACACAAACATCAGCAACCATCGTCCCCGACTGACAGACTAATGCCCCAGGTCACTCTTGTAAATGAGACTCATGCCGGTCTTTCGAATTCTCCCCTGGTGAAACAAAATCAACTTGATCATCACCACCAACATTACTTCCATCAGCGGTACAATCACCAGCACCATCATTATCGTCACCACCGCCATCATTCACTACCACCCATACGAACAACCACCATTAATATCCACCACAACCAACCACCACGCTGAGATATGATTGCAAGTTGTCACTCTCTCCATGCAATCACAATGTCCACGGTCCCTCCTTTGTAAAAACAGTTTTGACAAGTTCAATATCTAGCATTATATATATTAAGACCTTGATTTGTGAGAGCTTGGGTGACAGCTTCCATCCAGTGAACCAAACGCCTTTTCATGGGTGGACAAAAGCGAGGTATGAATGGCATTCGATATTCATGTCTTCTCTGCCACTTGAGTGACAGCGGGAATGTAGTACATGCATGTGTGACGCATGGCCAGAAACATGGAACACTGAAAAAGAAAATGAAAAACATTTTTTGTAAGTACACAAAGAAGCGTGAAGAGCTACGTAAACGATAACAATAATAAATTTAAGACCGTTGTAATTTCAACTCGCGGTGCACCGCCACGGTATTCGCTCGCTCTCGACGAGAGAGAGCGTGAGGAGGAGGAACCACAAACGAGCGCGGAAAGGCAGCCACCACGCGGTAGTGAGCCTGCACCAAATCACCCCCCTCCGCCCCCACACCACTTCTCCCAAGCTCTGCAGTCCTAAATGTATTAAGGTGTTATCGGCCAATCAACGAGCGTTGAAACGTTCGCGGTGAAAGCGGAGCACCCGGAAAAAAAAAAAAAACCCCACGCATGCGAGGGGGCAACGCTCAATCCCGTACAAGTGGAACAGGTGTGTGGAGTCCACGACTGGCTGCACCGCTTTCTGCTGGCGAGCCAGCGTACCGCAACTTTCCCTCGATGCCCACGGGGGGAGGGAGTTTCGCACAACTGCCACGTGAGATCCACCAATTGTGAAGCCAGGCACTGCAATCATCACGCCAGGAGGCTCAGAACATTTCAGAATCTTTATTTTCGGATATCTTTTTTTTATTCTGGAGGAATACGACGAGCTATGAAGCTCAAACATTGGCTCAGCTACGAGGTCCCTGCTTCACCTCTGTGGCGGCCCGATGCATAAACTATAAACTATTTATATTTTACCAAGTAAGGCCCACTAAGCTATACAGCTCTTTTTCTACAAATGATAGCTCAACGAAGTGGCCTATCACGTGGACATTTAATGCAGCCACGTTTCTACACGTGGAGGGAAAAACTGGAGGACCCTGAGAAAGATCCCCGTGACAACCGGGAGACATACAACCTCCGAATATACAGGCCTCAGGGTCGGGTTTGAACCCACGATCTCTTGTATACCAGGCGAGGTAGTTAGTATCTCGCGACCGCGGCCTACAGCAGGAGGCCATCGTGGAAGCCGATGTCGAAACTAGAATACGTGGGGGGTACGTAATATATGCAGCGCCCAAGCCGAAATGCCACTTTCCTATGGAGGGAGTGATGGGAGTATTCCTTCCCCACGCTTTCAAACAAATAGATGTAAAAAAAGGCGACGTTTCAGGCCATGGCCACGCTTCCTCATAGAACGTAAAATCATATTTTGTATGCCCGAAAATGTTGCCGATGATATTTTTTCTTCCTTTTAACGCCACAGTGCTAAATGTTTGTGCTTGTGCACCACTGCCAAAGCAGCGTCAACAGGAAAGTAAGTCGGCTACAGGCAAGACACATCACGGCCAGAAGGGAAGACGGCCAATGGACAAGACTGGTAACGGAATGGCAGCTAAAGGAGAGACGTGGCCGGAAACGGAGCAATGAGCGAGATGGATTGTAGCATCGCAGGATGACGGGGGATGGAGACAATGTGTGGAGGACTTGATCCAGCAGTGGATAAACCAGGGCTAACGATTGCGACGATGACGATCGTAACCATCGGCATCAACGTGACCACTGCCTCCTTCACCACGAGTACCGATCACAACAGTCAACACGAGCACCGTCACCATCATGAACACTACCATCTCCAACTACCACAACCAGCACAAAACCATATCCACCACCATCACCACCCACATATCCATAACCAACATCATCACCACACCCGGCACTGGCAGGAAAGTGTTCATAATAAAAATAACATTGCCTGTTTATTTAGCCAGAAAAGCCTCGCCAAGTCTAAAAACTATCTTTGAAACATTTATCCGGAAATCTTATCCATTTCCATTAAGAAGTACGGTAAAACCTTGGATTGCGAGCATAATTCGTTCCGAAAACGTGTTTGTAATCCAAAGCACTCGTGTATCAGTTGTGATCACGTGACGCTCGGCAGACAAAGCGTATACACGTACTACACGTATTCAAAGACCTCGCTCGTTTATCAAATTAATATTTAAAAAATTTGCTCGTCTTGCGAAACACTCGCAGACCAAGTTACTCGCAATCCAAGCTTTTACTGTATCCGGCTTTTGTGCAGGAAACCAGAGAACCCGGAGGAAACCCCCACGTTAGAGGGGATGACGCTCAAGCATCCGCTGAGGTACTGCCGTGGCATCTCCATGCCACCTCGCAGTCCATGCCGACCACAGGCAGTACAGGCGGTCTCCCGTCCAAACACTGACCAGGCTCGGCTCTGCTTAGAGTGTGAGCTCTTGACGAAGTCGGGCACATGCACTCACCAGCACCACGACAGCGGCCGGTCCCACAAAAGAGTAGAGAAGTCCACCCTCCAAAGAGAGCCAGCAGCTGGGAAGAGTCGTGCACGCGCACACACAGACACGACACAGCAAAAGAGAGACAGAAACACAGGACACAGAGAGACACGTGCAATGATGACAAACACACATAACAGAGACACAGAAAAAATTTAACCCGTAAAAAAAGTTTTTCACTATAAATCCTTTATATGCGTGGGCATCGGGGCGGCTCGAGTCCTCTCGTCCTCTGGCTTGAGATGGCTGCCACCTATGGGTCAGATGATTGTCTGCCACCATTAGGCAATTGGTAATTAAATATAATACATTTTTTTCCTAAAAAGTGTGGAATTTTGGAAAAAATGTTCACGAAAACAAATTGTCACGCACAACGAGTCTGTGTGCAAAATGTCAGCTCGATTGGATCACGGGAAGTGGGTTAAAAAACGACCGAAAGATTTGCATGGTCGTACGCAAGCACGCAAGCAAGCAAGCAAGTGAACTTAATATAAAGGATTTAAAAATAGAGGCGTTCAGGCACACAAAGAGACACGCAGACATAAAAGCAGAGACACACACAGAAGTATATACAAAGTAACGAAGCGGATGTGCAGTTCAAGGAGGAGGGAGATGCCTAGGCTGCCGAGATTTGTGGCAGGTTTGCATCTTGTGCACACGGACACCTGTGCACGTGCGCGTGCCAACAGAACGTAGCGAGGAACGGCACACGATTCGGCGATGATGAAAGTAGATTCTTGCCTGAATTTTCATTAAGAGAAGTACATCAAAGTATGATAATTGGTTTTTTACCCTTCTATCTGGCAACAAAACTGACACCTTTTTTACAAGTAGTCATGTTTGCATAGACCACAATACCTGCAGTCATAATGCAAACAAAAAACATAACTCTGATAATGTGCACTGTCCTTGAAGTTGATTGTTTTTTGTTTGCATTATGACTGCAGGTATTGTGGTCTATGTAAACATGACTCCTTGTAAAAAAGGTGTCAGTTTTGTTGCCAGATAGAAGGGTAAAAACCCAATTATCATATTTTTACTGGCAAATGAGGTTCCAATGGTACATCAAAGTACTTTGATCAATGGGACGTGGAGCGATGTGACCCGAATTTGATTCCCGGCTACAACTGGGCAAGTGATTTCTGTGCTTTCTACTGCTCAAGCGAGCGATTAAAACACACCGTTATCATATTTGCATTGCCCTTCCCGCGGTTTGCCTTTAGACATTCTCTGGTCTAACACTGGCGAGACGAGGCCATAAAGGAGGCCGTCTCTGGTGCAGGCCAACCAGACTCAAGGCCAACGCATACATTATTACACTGGTCAACAACAAAAAAATACTTTTTTTCTGACCTGGACTTTTGCAGCTGTTTTAGACAAATTTCAGGGTGCCGATTCCAACTCTGATCTCAGATTTGCTCTATCACATCTCATTTTTATGCTATCGGCATACCCCATTTTCATTGCTTTTACCCGAAATTAACTCTGTCACTTATGAATGCAAGTTGTTGCGAGTCAGTGACTGCTTTAGTGTTAAAATATGGTGCTGTATTTTTAGGATAGTGTGTTTATAATATCATTTTATGTAGATATCCACATTTATTTAATATTTTTCTTCTGCAGTTTTTATTGAAAATGCAATATTTGATATCTCAAAAACCTGATGTGATAGATTTGGAATCAGCCTCCCCAAAATTACCTTAAAACCGTTGGAATACCTTATGCCTGAAAAAGTGTGTTGACCAGTGTTATCAAAGCACATTTGTTTACACGTTTTACCACAAGCATGCATGATTAATGTAGACGTTATGCCTTGCAATTGATGTCAACTTGGTGTTTGAACATCTTAACACCTCCTGTATTACTGCAGGCAAGGGTAAAGCCTATTCTCTTTTCGTCGATATCTATGCTGGTTCTGGGCCTCCTCTAGGTCGCCTTAGACGTAAAAAAGTAGCTGGTGCGGTGTAAACATCGGCGCAAAAGTTTGGTGGGGGGGGACACGGTACTGCTATCACACAGACACACTCACGCCAAACACACGCACACAGGGGCAGGCACGCACATGCACACCGCCACACATGCACACCGCCACACGCGCACACCGCCACACGCGCACACCGCCACACGCGCACACCGCCACACGCGCACACCGCCACACGCGCACACCGCCACACGCGCACACCGCCACACGCGCACACCGCCACACGCGCACACCGCCACACGCGCACACCGCCACACGCGCACACCGCCACACGCGCACACCGCCACACGCGCACACCGCCACACGCGCACACCGCCACACGCGCACACCGCCACACGCGCACGCCGCCCACACGCGCACGCCGCCACACGCGCACGCCGCCACACGCGCACGCCGCCACACGCGCACGCCGCCACACGCGCACGCCGCCACACGCGCACGCCGTCACACGCGCACGCCGCCACACGCGCACGCCGCCACACACGCACACCGCCACACACGCACACCGCCACACACGCACACCGCCACACACGCACACCGCCACACATGCACACCGCCACACACGCACACCGCCACACACGCACACCGTCACACACGCACACCGCCACACATGCACACCGCCACACATGCACACCGCCTCACACGCGGGGTCGGCTTACTAGCTGTGGGTTCCGTATCCCTTCATCTTCGTGAGGCCACAGGAAAAGGCGACCGTCATCGCCGGGAAGCCTGAACGACACACATCATCGCTCCGATGACGATAAGAATCATGCGGCCAACCATCATGCTGAGGATGGTGACGACGACGATGATACTAATGCTGATGTCACCGATACTGCCACTGCTGATGCTGATGACCTTAACGATGGACGCCCATGATGACGCCGAGGATGAAGATGATGACGTGAACCATTGCGATGACTACGATAGCGACGACGACGTTGACGCCGATGGCCGTGAAGCACCCGCTGACGTCGCCACCGCCGACGTTGCCGATAATGATGGCCACAGTCATGAGGATGCTGACGATGATGCTGATGATGATGCTGCTGATGCTGGTGACTGCCCGCACCCCATCCGAGCAGCAGGAAGCGCTTGTGGATGAGTCGTCGGCGGAGACGCCCGCCCACGGCGGTGTAGGCTTGCCACGCTTCGGCCAGGACCCAGCAGAACGACGCCAGGAACGTGAAGTGCAGCAAAGCGGCCGTGGCCACACACGCGGCCTATGCAGAGAGATGCACATACGCGTACACACGCACGCACAAGCGCACGCACGCACGCACGCACAGGACACGCACGGGACATGTGGCACACGCGCAGGATGCCCATAGGGTAAACACATACACACGCGAGACACGGGATGAACGGGACACACGCAGAAGACGCCCATAGGGTAAACACACACACATAAGACACGGGACACACAAGGGATGGACAGGACATGGGACATGCGGGATATACACACACAGGACACGCATGGAACACAAATAGGTATACACACACAGCAAGCAATACACAAAGCACACACACAGACACGACAGTGCATTACAAAGAGAGAATGCGCAGACAAAGATCCCCCGTATAGACTGTAGAGGCAAGTGCTGTTAGCGAGCACCTATGAAGGCTGGCACGGCACACGAGGGGGTAGGTAACCAACACCACGCCCGGCCACCTTTGTCTCCCCAGTGGCAATGTTTACACATCACACCAGTGACTCATTTGAGGCTGAGTCGACCTAGGGGAAACCCAGGACCGGTTCAGATAATCGTCACTGTGTTGGCCGTGAGCGGGAATCGAACCCGGGTCGCCAGGTTCATAGCGCAGCGCACTAACCGCTACACACACACGGGATACGTGACATTCAATATGCACTGAAACAAAGGTACACGCACAGGGAAGCAACGTGCAAAGACACACACTCACAAGAGCAGATACTCACATTAATACAGGACACGCAAAAACACAGGACACGCAGAATATATACAACAGAATCACTGTGCATTCATAAAAGACTTGACTCATAAGAGTGCGTGAAAACAAAATGTTGAGACTTAATAATGTGCGGAACACATTGGGTCACACAGGGTCACACAGGGTCACACAGGGTCACACAGGGTCACACAGGTACCCACAGGGAGCCTTGGTGGGCCCTCCACACAGCCCGCAAGACATACCCTCTGCTGCATGAGCGTCTGCGCCAGCAGGATGAGTCCGTTGGAGGAGATGATGGAGATGCAGAGGTTGATGAGGATCACCGCCCTCTCAGAGCGCACGACCCTGCTCACGCACGCGGCGTTCAAACGCGACGATACGGCTCAACTTTCACGAGCATCCACAACCACTCCCTCCCCCCGCCCCCTTCAACAGCCACCGACGCCGAACACCAGGACGCCTACGGACGCTACTTTTTCCTTCGCCGCTGCACGTCGCCGTCCACGTGAATCTCAAGACGTGCTTTCCTCACCTCGTGAGTCTTCGTGGCCTCCCAGAATTCCTCGCTTAAATGCGAGCTGCCGTTTCATTTGTGGGCAATTTTAAGGCACTCGCGCCTATGACCATATACCGGTCCGAGCTGAACAGCGTCAAGCCAGGATAGTGGTTGTCGAGGAACCCACCACAATTAAAACGGGTGTCGTAGGCTGCTGTGCGGCTACGTTGCAGGCAGCAGAGGACAATGTGGCAAAATGCGTTGTTGTAATGTACTTCTTTGCTCTCAACTTTCACCAAACCACACTGGCCAGCCTGGTTTAACTCGAGTCGAACAATCCCCACGATCCTGCACGGTGTGGTGGGGCCCAAATCCAGCAATGATTTAACATGCATCACAAACATGGTTATGAAATGTTTAACGATCTTGAGGGAGGGAGGGGAGGGAGGGGAGGGAGGGGAGGGAGGGGAGGGAGGTCAGGCTTCACTGCTATGATGCTGGTAGCGCAGCAGCAGGGGATCTGGTGATGGGTTTTTGAGGGTGATTTGTTCTCTTGTTGGTGTCCATGAACACGGTAACACACAATGGGACTAATGTTACACGGGAAACCCGCGGTATATCTTTGATTTAAAAAAAGGGAGCACATAAGCAAACAAAAAAAAACGACATGATGAACGAAGTAAAGTGCTGAAAGACCGAGCATCTTTCTAGTCTGATCGTTAAAAAAAGCAAAAAAATAACAAACAAAAAAAGGAGGGAGGCTCAGTTGACAGGTGGTGTTCCATCCTTTTTGACATGTTGGGCTACAGAGGGGTGCCCTGTATAATGTGACTGACGGGAGGGGATCTTGCAATGGGCATTTTAGGGTGTTTTTTTATTGCGTCTGCGAACACAGTACACAATGGGATTTCTGTCCCGTGGAAAAGTGTGTAAATATGTTATATTTCTTGAAGAAGAAGAAAAAAAGGCCATTAAAAGTCTAAAATAACATTTAAAAAACCCGAAAAACGACACGATGAATGAAGCAAAGTGTCGAATAACCGAACATTTGTTTTGTTTCTTCTCATCGAAAGAAACGAGGGGAGGGAGTGGAAGACGAGGAGGAGGAGGAGGTTGAAGAGGAGGACCTCACCTCCAGTAGAGCGCGTAGACCACAATGAGGCAGAGGAGGGCGAGCGAAGAAACTGTGCAGCCCACCACCAGCGTCAGCGACAACGTGCTCGCCTGATCCATGTCCTGGGGCAGGTTGCGGGTGAGACGGGGACGAAATTATGATCACCGGGTCCATAGTCTAGTGCTCGAACCCAATGCACCCACTTCACTATTGCTCCACAAAGACAAAGATCCCCCTACAGTCTTCGGACTTTTGGGACAAGTGCTGTTTGCAAGCATCTATTAAGGCCAGCACCAGCACACGAGGGTACAGGTGGCCAGCACCACGCCCGACCGCCTTTGTCTCCCCAGTGGATGATGTTTACACACCGCACAGGGTACTCACTGAAGGCGGAGTCGACCTAGGGGATGCCCAGGACCAGTTCAAATATTCACCACTGCTGTTGGTAGCGAGTGGGAATTTAACTCGGGTCGCCGGGTTCGTAGTGCAGTGCACCAACCACTACATCACCACTCCCCCACAGACACACACACGTAGACTGACACATTCGTGGGATCAGAACACACATGGAGCTCTCACCTGATATGGGCTTCATTTGCAACGCTTCATTCGAAACACACCGTTTGCCTTTTCGTCCCAATTATATTCCAACTGTGTCACGTCTTGAAACAATGAAATGTCAATTTGGAACTCCCAGAGCGAGCGGTGTAACATCAGAGCGCATCAGCGAACAGCCCGATTGTAAGATGACGGTACAGAACGTCTTCTGAAAGTCACACAACTGACTCTTATCCACACCGTGTGGTCTATATTTTATACGAGCAATTATAACGTAATGATGCTCTGCACAGTATTTATCCAGGAAAGCCTCACCGAGTCTCAAGGCTAATTCAGGAGGGCTCTCTGCATTTCGTTGTTTGGTCAATACCATTAATGACCTTTGCAGTTTCTACAGAAAGTAATTAGTAGCCAAACATGCCAAGGCATGGTCCTCTTGAAAAGATAATTCGGTGACTCAAGTCAGGAATTCCTGGGTTAGAGATAGTATTGTTATCTCTAACACAAGTTAATGTCTACGGTTTTGACACGTGTAAGGGTTTATTGACTACTCTTGTGTCCAATCATGAACGAGTGTTCGTATGCCAAATCATAAATGTAGATTGGTCAACTTCTCAAAATTTCAGAGTGTTGTTAAATCACCAGCAGATTGTGGTGTGCGGTCTCCAAAGACGAGTACGTACGACTGCCTTCTCCACCATCATCATCACCATGACCACCATCACCATAACCACAAAAACCACCGTCATCAGACTCGGGACATCGGGACATGACGCCCAAAGTACGAGTTAAATGTACAGCCCTGATTGACGGTATCTCCCACGCCGTGTTTGTTGTCGGCGTTGCTAGACCATATTTCACCGCACTAACCAGTGTGTCTTGGCCATGGGTAGGACTGGTCCAGGTACTACTACACGCTACTCATGTTAGTCGTGGCCGGGACTCAAACTCAGCAAGTCACAACGCGGCGCGACCAGTGTTCGCTTAATTGTTAAGCTAACTTTACGCGTAATGATGTCGCTACGAGTAAGCGTTAAGAACTCAAAGAAATACCAATGTAATTGCCTTGGCATAGATCACATCGGTGGGCACAGTGACCGTCCATCAATGAGGATTAATAGCCAATACTCTAGGGTTAATTCCATAACAAGCGTGAGATGCTCAACGCTGATTGGATTACGTAACGCGAATGCAGGCAGTCCTAAATGCAGCTGCTAAACGTAATAAATTAGAACATGTCACTTACACCGGAGAAATCCGACGAGCTACGTTGCCACAACAAACAGTAGAATAACAAACACAATCACAGGAGGAGGAGAAATGTAAGAAGGGGCATGCGCATTCCCGGACGTGGCACATGCGATCCACGAGCAGATGTGACTAGGCTGGACCGTCTGAATGTCTAGCAGAGGTCACAACCGGGTACCCGATACCCGTACCCTACCGATACCCGTTTGCGACCCTGGTGCGGCCGGGTACGGGTAGGCCGTGAGTCACTGGTGAGTAACCGTTTGTCACTCATTTCGGGTAGGGAACGGGTACGGGTAGGGAACGGGTACCCGTACCCGGCCGGGTACACGTACCCATTTGCGACCCTGGTGCGGCCGGGTACAGGTAGGCCGTGAGTCACTGGTGAGTAACCGTTTGTCACTCATTTCGGGTAGGGAACGGGTACGGGTAGAGAACGGGTACGCGTACCCGGCCGGGTATACGTACCCATTTGCGACCCTGGTGCGGCCGGGTACGGGTAGGCCGTGAGTCACTGGTGAATAACCGTTTGTCACTCATTTCGGGTAGGGAACGGGTACCCGTACCCGGCCGGGTACACGTACCCATTTGCGACCCTGGTGCGGCCGGGTACGGGTAAGGAATCAAAACCCGTTTGCGACCTCTGATGTCTAGGTTAGGGAGACAAAATGACAAATGACACCACGCACGAAAATCAGTAAACGTGCAACGGTGTGGGGGGCGTTCAATGGGGTCAGGGCGGATATCCGACGGTTCGCACCCACACACCTTGGCCAACCCAGTTAGATTCCCCTAGCCAGGGCTTAACCTTTACCCCGTCAGTGGTGAATAATATCACAACCAGTTCGAGACCGGCCAGCCTCGCTTTGCCTTGACCAACCCACACTGACCAATGCGGTGAAGTATGATCAAGTCAACCCCCACCTCCCGTGGCAAATGACTACAGCATTTCGTAGTGCATCGGCACATACATTGACTCTCTGTCTGTGTGTGTGTGTGCCTGTGCATTATAATATCGATGTGTAGGTTATAATATACTGTGTTGCAAGATAACTGGCAGAGGTTTCGGGCTAAGTTTACATTAAATCGTCGTTAATTAATGCTTTGGTCACCTGCTAATAGGAAACTTGATCATTTAAACGAATTATTGGATAACGAATCCTTTACACGTAAGTGGCTTTAGACACGTGCCAATTTTAAATCTGCACGGCAACAGATTTGCACACACATCAGTAGTGAAGCGATGCTGTAGATGTACATTAAACGCAACTACAATAATTTCTCCCTGAATTTAAAAATGAAATAAAAACCATTCACGGCACAAAATTGTCAGAATAACGATCTTATCAGCCACGTTGGCCAAAAACGCGATTAATTACCAACTTAATGTCGACCTACAAATGAATAATAAGCATTTGGGAAGAAATGGCTACATCGTGATTAATAACATCGGTGTGAATTTGCTCCTGGCACAGATATGCACCAAACATAAACTTGTACTTTAAAATCCCTAGGCTGTAAAGGATGTTGTTGCTGTTGTTGTTTCATTTAAAGCATCGTGTTAATTAATTGCAACGTGTCAGCATCACCTGCAGAAAGCAACGCGTGTGAGAATGTGGGATTTCATTCCGCAAATTACGGAGCCGAAACAAAGCGATGCAATTCTTGCTCAAAACGCAATAGATTTTTTTTTCACCCCCCTTAATTTAAATGCAACTCTTGACAAAAAAACACACACAAACAACACACAATTCTGCTTAAACAACCAAAACAAAGCTAATGCAGCATTAAAAAAAAAAACCCGCACAATATTCTAAGCACCGCCGTTAAAACGCAGCAAACAGCGGCACATCAGCAAAACCCTCGGTGCTCACCCACCACCACCGCAATTAAAACCGCACAATCCCTCAAGGCACAAATGAGCTCACCGACAAGGATTCACCTCGAGCAGGCTATAAGACCAACCAACCAACCAAAAGGTATAAAATTTAAATAAAAACCGAGATAATAAAAAAATCGCCACCACCACCGCAACCAACACAAACTCACCAGCGAGTCGGCCTCACGCCTGGCCAAGATGGCGAAAGCCGCATCAAGCCTGTGGCAGCGACACCGCGTCCTGCCGGGCCGCGCCGCCACGGGCGCGCACCCTCTGGCCGACCAACCCCCGCCTCGGCCGGCAGAGCTCTCTATCCGAGCGCCGTGGTCTACCCCCGCCGCTAGGCCCGAGGCCCAGGCCGCGAAGCCTGCGGCGTTGCCTGACGCCGCGCGGCCGCCCGATGTCGTCCCGAAGCCGGCGGACGTGCTAAGAAATGGGGGGGGGGGGGGTGTGAGGTGTTCAGTCAAACTAGGGCCGCGTTCTCTGCCGACATCCGCTCCTGTTGCTGCTGTGTAAGATAATGCTGGCTGGATGGTGATGGTGATGATGCTGGTGTCGATGAAATAATAAAAATAATGAAACAAGTGGTCTGGTGGTGGTGGTGGCGGTGTTGCGTTTTTTTTGTGTTAATCTGCAAGACGGGGGAGGCGTTCCGCGAATGTAAATCGATCCGTGATTAATTAACGAGCCGAGCCGCTGCGAGGGGAGGCAGCACACGGATTGCTCTGCGAGCGCAATGCAACGGCGATTGATTTCTCACGTCCATCAGCAAACTCCACTCCCCTTCCCTCCACACCCACCACCCTCCGTTGGGTCTCGTTCGTTCGCCGCGAGATAACAGAAATTAACCCGCTCCTCGGTCCTCTCACAACAACAACAAAAACCCATCACCCACCTAACCATCACATTCGTACGATGCATTTCATTCGTGCCTTGCTGAAACAAACGAAATAGTCACGCGGAATGTCCTCCCTCCTTTGTGTCGTTCCTAAGCCGCTTGTCGTAATCATTGGATTTGTTGTGCAGAGGCGCCGGTGACTGCTGTGGAACTTATCACCGTGGTCTTAGATTTGTTTTTGTCGGTAAAGTCACGTAGGTAAAACATAAAAAAAAAAATCTTCTTGGTTCTTTCGGTAAAGTCACGTAGAAGGGAAGTAATAAAATAATAAAAATAAAACATAATAAAATATTAAAAATAAAACATTATAAAATATTTATTATTAAAACATTATAAAATATTTATTATGTTTTATTTTTAATATTTTATTATGTTTTATTTTTATTATTTTATTACTTCCCTTCTACGTGACTTTATCGAAAGAACCAAGAAGATGAATCCCTGCAGTCACGAAAGCTTTAAATCGAAATAAAAATAATATAAATAAAACTATTTGTGATGTATTATTTTGTTTTATTTATATTATTATTTTTAAGTATTATTTTGTTTTATTTCTATTATTATTTTATTTTTACCTACGTGACTTTACCGAAAAAAACCTGAGTATGAATCCTTGCAGTCACGAAAGCTTCAAATCTAGAATTATCACCGTGGATTTGTCGCTAGTTTCGTGGAATTGCTGAACGCGCAGCATTATCGCCACCTAACTTCGGGCTATTCCTCTAATCGTAAGGGTCATTAAATATTTATCTGCAATTCTATTTTCTATTCTGGCGCGTGGCGGCAATTTGCGGGTGTTCTGGAGATTAAATGCCAATCATGTCGCGATCTGCTTGCCGGCCACGACGAGAGAGTCTTCAGGGAGACGGAGGAGTTTGTGTCGTTTTGCCGCTCTTCCTCCGATGAATGAGCAAAGACCCACTGGATGAATTGATACGGTCCGTATCTTGGGTTTCATGGCCACAGTTCGCACTCCTGTGGCTTGTCTTTTGTGTATCTCGATCTGTGCCCAGGCCCTGTGTATCTCAATTAGCACGGTTGGCTACGTACGTTGCGAAAGAAGTTTAACATTTACTAACAGGGTTTTTCCCCTTTTTTCTGGCAACAAAACTGACACCTTTTGCAAGGAATCATGCTTACATTAACCACAATACTTGCAGTCAAATGCAAACAAAAAACAATACTCTGATCATTTATGCATTGTCTTTGAAACTGATTGGTCCACACCAGAGACAGCTTTCTTTAGAGCCTCGTCTCATTTAGTGTTCGACCAGATGACGCCAATGCATTAATTATCAGAGTATTCTTTTTTGTTTGCATTTGACTGCAAGTATTGTGGTTAATGTAAGCATGATTCCTTGCAAAAAGTGTCAGTTTTGTTGCAAGAAAAAAGGGGGAAAACCCTAGTAGTATATTTTGGTACTGGCAAAAGAGGTCCCATGATGTAAGTTAAACATTGTCCATACCAATGTGTGTACGACCCACATTGAGTTGCATGGCCACAACCGCACGGCTGGGGCTTTGCCTTTTAATGCATCTCTTTTGGGATCTCTACGTTCTCGTGTGCGTGCCAATATGTTCACAAGCAAGGTGCCCAATGTTCAGCTTCATGCAGCATTATCGCGCCCCAACTTAGGGGCTGTTCCTCCAATCGTGCGAGGCGTGAAATATTTATTTGCCATTCAAATCGATACATGCGTGCGCCAGCAATATATTCCGGAGCCAAGATGCCCAATGTCGAGGTCTGCCAGCCACAAGAGAGTTTGTGTCGTTTTGCCGTTCTGCCGGTGTTGAACGGGCGCCAACAGTGGTTTACGAAACGGTCCACCAATTCGGTGGTGGTGTCAGTGGTTAACTCTTCATCCGTTGTGTGGGCTGACTGACGGACCCCCAGTCACATATATAGCCGAGGAACTGTGGAATGAACGCCTTCGAACAAAATGACCGTGAGAAGGGCAAAGTGGCTTCACGCTGTGAAAATACAAAAAACGAGGCCACCTCGCCCATCTGCCAGACTCCCCCCCACCTCCCCGACCGTACCAAATGTATCTAATTAAAACATATACAGTGTATGTGTTATTCAATTAAATAAACACGGGAAAGAATATAGTGGCTCGTGCAAATATATACTCTTATTTGCAAAATATAATTTTAAGTCAATGTTGAATTGTGTTATGAAGGGGATGTTGCATGAAAAAAAGGCAGCTATTATATATATTTTTTTAAGATCACACAGCGTTCTTGGCGAATGTTTAAATGGGGCTTCATGTATCTATGACCATATTACCCGTGATTTATACTAACCGTGGAAGCTGTGATAATATCTGTGGCTCTTTTGATGCCTATACCTCGTGATTTGCTTCCTGTGGATAAGTGGTAGTAAAATTCACGGACAACCCCGTACACAAGAGGATCCGATGTTCAATCCCACGCACCTCCGGTGAGCACGTTTGGCTACGTACGGTGCGAAAGAAACATATGCGGATTTCTATATTTGGGGGGGGGGCGTTGCCCCTCCGTGCCCCCCACCTCCCCCCCGTAAACTCAGCCCATGGAGAGAACTTCAACATACATAACATCTCGATTTAAAGCTTTCGTGACTGCAGGGATTCATCTTCTTGGTTCTTTCGGTAAAGTCACGTAGAAGAAAAAATAATAATTATAAAAATAAAACATGATAAAATAATTCTCACGACGTTTCGGCCACAACGCAAGCAGCCGTCCTCAAGAAGATACATACCATCGTCATGGATTACAGGAGAACTCAATACATCATTTGGGTCATTATTGTACAAAAGCCACCACATTATTGATGGCCTTTGTACATAATAACACTGTGTTCACCGTTATTATCATTATCATTTTTGTAGGCTGACAAGGCAATTGAGTGGAAATTGATACAGCCCTCTAAACTCTCACAAAACGAGGTCTAAATAGAAAATAGTAACAATAGAATGCATACAATAACATTCCATGAAGTAACAAAATGCGTACAAGTGTAGTGAGACAAAAATACAACATTGGGTTAAACGATGCACTGGTTCTTCAAATTGATGATTACGATGACCATGATACATTGAATTGTGTGTGCGAGTCACTCATGCAAAGGTACGCTAATGTTACATTTCATTTAATGGAACAAAATCAACAGAATTAATAAAACGAGATGGAAAAAAATAGGCTTGAAACTCCCCTCCCTTTCCCCAGCCGCCCATGCAGTAGACTCCCTGCTTCAGTTCAAATCCGGGTCAAAATCTTATTGTCTTCCCTCTGTGAATAACCGCCTCCCTCTCTCTAAAATAAATGAGCCGCAATGTTTCCACGCAGTCCTCGAGATGCGGTCGCGTTCAGACGCCGATCGGCGTGACATTACTTTTATTCGCCGGCTCTCACGCTTTGTTAGGCGTAATGTCCAGCGCTATGTCGAGTAAAATTGTAAAAAAAAAATACACAGTTTCGTATATTTGTCCTCGTGTCAACTGGAGTTGATTGGCTCCAATCGGGGTGGTGGAGGAGGGTATGGATAAAAAAAATTACATTTGGAGGAACCGACGGATGGTCACGTCCGAAGGATGTTTGCGTTCCAGGTGTACTGTATGTACAAAAAAAGCGAATAGTAAAATTGCCAATACTAGTGCGTAAAGCGGAAGGCTGCCCATTTTTAAATACCACATCCCAATGGACGATGCACTACCCACATGAAAATCAGTCTTGAGATGCTGTCAGATTTATCACTGAATGTCAAAGCAACAATTATGCAAGAACATGTATTCCCCACTCCCCACCACACACTAACATAGAGTAAAGTGGAATTATTATATTAGAAACTAGGTATGCGGAAAAAGATTTTTGTTTTAATTGGCAGCCCACCGCTTAAATCAGGAATGTTGATGGAATCATAGCATCCAGAATCATAACACTTAATCATATCTCTGGAGCGAGTGCCTCGTAATAAGACAAATTATTACCGCTTGTTTAACATCGCTACACTCCGTTCAGGCAAAGGTGCAGCCCTGCAATTGATTGGCACCTGTGTTCAGGTGACGGCAGGGACTGATCTGCACCAGAGGTCGCAAACGGGTTTTGATTCCTTACCCGTACCCGTACCCGGCCGCACCAGGGTCGCAAACGGGTACCCGTACCCGGCCGTACCCGTACCCTACCCGTACCCGGCCGGGTACGGGTAGGGTACGGGTATCGGGTACCCGATTGCGACCTCTGGGATGAAGCCATGTTGCAGGCGCGGGTGGGTTGATTCTAGGAACTTGAATTGTGAGAAGAGACAAGACGTTGGGAAATGAGTGACAAACGGTTACTCACCAGTGACTCGCGGTCTACCCGTACCCGTACCCGGCCGCACCAGGGTCGCAAACGGGTACCCGTACCCGGCCGGGTACGGGTAGCCGGGTATCGGGTAGGGTACGGGTATCGGGTACCCGGTTGCGACCTCTGATCTGCGCCAATATCTGGTATCGCCACCGCGTTGAACTGCATTACAGCAGACTACGCAGTTTTGATAACAGTGGAAGAAGGTGGTAACCCTAAATTCACCCCATCAGCAGCATCCCTCTGGGGCAGCTAAATTGGGTACCAACTTTGTTGGTACTTTGTTGGTATCCAATGGATACGTCCGCATATTCTCTGACCCACCCCCTTCCCCACCATCGCACCCGAGTGCCTGACAGATGGGAGCACTCCGCCTTAAGGAGCTGCTGCAATTCCCCACGTCCCACACGTGTGTAGATCACATTGAGAAAAACGCACCTCCTCCACGGATGCACATTCGTCAACTCCCCTGCCTCGCAGCTGTGAAGAGCCGTTACTCGTGTGCCTCTTATGCACGTGGCATGTAATCCAGCACTGTGGCGGCGAG